ACTATACCCCTGACGTTGTTCACCATACCCCTGACGTGGTTCACTATACCCCTGACGTGGTTCACTATACCTCTGACGTTGTTCACTATACGCCTGAGTTTGTTCACTATATCCCTGATGTTGTTCACCATACCCCTGACGTGGTTCACTATACCCCTGACGTTGTTCACTATACGCCTGACTTTGTTCACTATACGCTTGACTTTGTTCACTATACCCCTGACGTGGTTCACTATACTCCTGACGTGGTTCACTGTACCCCTGACGTGGTTCACTATACCCCTGACGTGGTTCACTATACCCCTGACGTGGTTCACTATACCCCTGGCGTGGTTCGCTATACCCCTGACGTGGTTCATTATACCCCTGACGTGGTTCACTATACCCCTGACGTTGTTCACTATACGCCTGACTTTGTTCACTATACGCTTGACTTTGTTCACTATACCCGTGACGTGGTTCACTATACCCCTGACGTGGTTCACTGTACCCCTGACGTGGTTCACTATACCCCTGACGTGGTTCACTATACCCCTGACGTGGTTCACTATACCCCTGACGTGGTTCACTGTACCCCTGACGTGGTTCACTATACCCCTGACGTAGTTCACTGTACCCCTGACGTGGTTCACTATTTCCCTGACGTGGTTCACTATACCCCTGACGTGGTTCATTATACCCCTGACGTGGTTCACTATACCCCTGACGTGGTTCACTATACCCCTAACGTGGTTCATTATACCCCTGACGTGATTCACTATACCCCTGACGTGGTTCATTATACCCCTGACGTGGTTCATTATACCCCTGACGTGGTTCACTATACCCCTGACGTGGTTCACTATACCCCTGACGTGGTTCATTATACCCCTGACGTGGTTCACTATACCCCTGACGTGGTTCATTATACCCCTGACGTGGTTCATTATACCCCTGACGTGGTTCACTATACCCCTGACGTGGTTCACTATACCCCTGACGTGGTTCACTGTTAGCTTGACCTACAGAGCAAAAAATAAAAACGAGTTTTAGGAAAGCAATTTGCATTATTATTGCATGGATGCAATATAACCAGCAGTGTTGGCAGTGAACGGAGGATCGAACCTCCACCACTCACCAAGCTTTAGAGCCCACACGGGTTTAGCGCTTCACAGTTGGGTAAGTTGATGCTGGCGATGGGCTGTTGAATCAATGCACTGGACACGCCATCAATTTCCTGGGCTCAGACTTGCTTACCTCCCATTCTCCCAGGCGCTGTGTGAACCCGTATGGATTTAGCGTTTCCTCATGATTATAATGTTTTATTTATTATTTTTTTATTATCACACTGGCCGATTCCCACCAAGGCAGGGTGGCCCGAAAAAGAAAAACTTTCACCATCATTCACTCCATCAATGTCTTGCCAGAAGGGTGCTTTACACTACAGTTTTTAAACTGCAACATTAACACCCCTCCTTCAGAGTGCAGGCACTGTACTTCCCATCTCCAGGACTCAAGTCCGGCCTGCCGGTTTCCCTGAATCCCTTCATAAATGTTACTTTGCTCACACTCCAACAGCACGTCAAGTATTAAAAACCATTTGTCTCCATTCACTCCTATCAAACACGCTCACGCATGCCTGCTGGAAGTCCAAGCCCCTCGCACACAAAACCTCCTTTACCCCCTCCCTTCAACCTTTCCTAGGCCGACCCCTACCCCGCCTTCCTTCCACTACAGACTGATACACTCATGAAGTCATTCTGTTTCGCTCCATTCTCTCTACATGTCCGAACCACCTCAACAACCCTTCCTCAGCCCTCTAGACAACAGTTTTGGTAATCCCGCACCTCCTCCTAACTTCCAAACTACGAATTCTCTGCATTATATTCACACCACACATTGCCGTCAGACATGACATCTCCACTGCCTTCTCCTCGCTGCAACATTCATCACCCACGCTTCACACCCATATAAGAGCGTTGGTAAAACTATACTCTCATACATTCCCCTCTTTGCCTCCAAGGACAAAGTTCTTTGTCTCCACAGACTCCTAGTGCACCACTCACTCTTTTTCCCTCATCAATTCTATGATTCACCTCATCTTTCATAGACCCATCCGCTGACACGTCCACTCCCAAATATCTGAATACGTTCACCTCCTCCATACTCTCTCCCTCCAATCTGATATTCAATCTTTCATCACCTAATCTTTTTGTTATCCTCATAACCTTACTCTTTCCTGTATTCACCTTTAATTTTCTTCTTTTGCACACCCTACCAAATTCATCCACCAATCTCTGCAACTTCTCTTCAGAATCTCCCAAGAGCACAGTGTCATCAGCTAAGAGCAGCCGTGACAACTCCCACTTTGTGTGTGATTCTTTATCTTTTAACTCCACGCCTCTTGCCAAGACCCTCGCATTTACTACTCTTACAACCCCATCTAATAAATATATTAAACAACCACGGTGACATCACACATCCTTGTCTAAGGCCTACTTTTACTGGGAAAAAATTTCCCTCTTTCCTACATACTCTAACTTGAGCCTCACTATCCTCGTAAAAACTCTTCACTGCTTTCAGTAACCTACCTCCTACACCATACACTTGCAACATCTGCCACATTGCCCCCCTATCCACCCTGTCATACGCCTTTTCCAAATCCATAAACACCTGGTCCACACACCCCCTACCTTTCCTAAAGCCTCCTTGTTCATCTGCTATCCTATTTTCCGTCTTACTCTTAATTCTTTCAATTATAACTCTACCATACACTTTACCAGGTATACTCAACTGACTTATCCCCCTATAATTTTTGCACTCTCTTTTATCCCCTTTGCCTTTATACAAAGGAACTATGCATGCTCTCTGCCAATCCCTAGGTACCTTACCCTCTTCAATACATTTATTAAATAATTGCACCAACCACCCCAAAACTATATCCCCACCTGCTTTTAACATTTCTATCTTTATCCCATCAATCCCGGCTGCCTTACCCCTTTCATTTTACCTACTGCCTCACGAACTTCCCCCACACTCACAACTGGCTCTTCCTCACTCCTACAAGATGTTATTCTTCCTTGCCCTATACACGAAATCACAGCTTCCCTATCTTCATCAACATTTAACAATTCCTCAAAATATTCCCTCCATCTTCCCAATACCTCTAACTCTCCATTTAATAACTCTCCTCTCCTATTTTTAACTGACAAATCCATTTGTTCTCTAGGCTTTCTAACTTGTTAATCTCACTCCAAAACTTTTTCTTATTTTCAACAAAATTTGTTGATAACATCTCACCCCTCTCTCATTTGCTCTCTTTTTACATTGCTTCACCACTCTCTTAACCTCTCTCTTTTTCTCCATATACTCTTCCCTCCTTGCATCACTTCTACTTTGTAAAAACTTCTCATATGCTAACTTTTTCTCCCTTACTACTCTCTTTACATCCTCATTCCACCAATCGCTCCTCTTCCCTCCCGCACCCACTTTCCTGTAACCACAAACTTTTGCTGAACACTCTAACACTACATTTTTAAACCTACCCCATACCATTGCCTATGCTCTCATTAGCCCATCTATCCTCCAATAGCTGTTTATATCTTACCCTAACTGCCTCCTCTTTTAGTTTATAAACCTTCACCTCTCTCTTCCCTGATGCTTCTATTCCCCCTTGTATCCCATCTACCTTTTACTCTCAGTGTAGCACCAACTAGAAAGTGATCTGAATATCTGTGGCCCCTCTATAAACATGTACATCCTGAAGTCTACTCAACAGTCTTTTATCTACCAATACATAATCCAACAAACTACTGTCATTTCGCCCTACATCATATCTTGTATACCTATTTTATCCTCTTTTTCTTAAAATATGTATTACCTATAACTAAACCCCTTTCTATACAAAGTTCAATCAAAGGGCTCCAATATCATTTACCCTGGCACCCCAAACTTACCTACCACACCCTCTCTAAAAGTTTCTCCTACTTTAGCATTCAGGTCCCCTACCACAATTACTCTCTCACTTGGTTCAAAGGCTCCTATACATTCACTTAACATCTCCCAAAATTTCTTTCTCTCCTCTGCATTCCTCTCTTCTCCAGGTGCATACACGCTTATTATGACCCACTTCTCGCATCCAACCTTTACTTTTATCCACATAATTCTTGAATTTACACATTCATATTCTCTTTTCTCCTTCCATAACTGATCATTTAACTTACTGCTACCCCTTCCTTTGCTCTAACTCTCTCAGTACTCCAGATTTAATCCCATTTATTTCCCCCCACCGAAACTCTCCTACCCCCTTTAGCTTTGTTTCGCTTAGGCCAGGACATCCAACTTCTTTTCATTCATAACATCAGCAATCATCTGTTTCTTGTCATCCGCACTACATCCACGCACATTTAAGCATCCCAGTTTTATAAAGTTTTTCTTCTTCTCTTTTTTAGTAAATGTCTACAGGAGAAGGGGTTACTAGCCCATTGCTCCCGGCATTTTAGTCGCCTCATACGACACGCATGGCTTACGGAGGAAAGATTCTTTTCCACTTCCCCATGGACAATAGAAGAAATAAAGAAGAACAAGAGCTATTTAGAAAAAGGAGAAAAACCTAGATGTATGTATATATATATGCATGTGCGTGTCTGTGAAGTGTGACCAAAGTGTAAGTAGGAGTAGCAAGATATCCGTGTTATCTAGCGTGTTTATGAGACAGAAAAAGAAACCAGCAATCCTACCATCATGCAAAACAGTTACAGGTTTTTTTTTACAGTCATCTGGCAGGACGGTAGTACTTCCCTGGGTGGTTGCTGTCTACCAACCTACTACCTATAATGTTTATCACTATTTATTTGATGACAAAGTTTACGTAGAGTATCCATGTGAAAAAACTTCACTCTCTTTATCTGTATTGTGGATGTTTTCCTTTTTTCCTTGTAAACATTTTGTTTTTTTCCACAGCAAGAAGATTGACGAGTATGAAAAAATAACTGTGGCTACAGAAAAAAAATTTAAAAACTGAAAGATTAAGTGTAGCACATTTCACGTGTTAAAAATAAATGCTTAACCATCAACAAGAGTGAAAATGAAGCCTATGAATAAAATTAAAAGAGAATAAAAACTGAATGAAAATACTAAATGAAAATAAAAATAATTAAAAACCAGACAAAAATATAATAAGATAGAAAGGAGAAAAAAATAAGAAGAAAATGTTGGAATCAACGTTCGACTGGTCAGCTGGGATGAAAGGCAGCTTCACCTGGGCTGACTATCTGGTCTTCGTCGGGATGCTGGTGGCCTCGATGGCCATCGGCATCTTTTACGCCGTCAAGAGCCGCAATAAAACCAACGATGAGTTCCTCCTGGGAAGCCGCAGCTTCTCCTGCTTCCCGGTCTCCATGTCCCTCCTGGCCTCCTCCGTCTCCGCAATTCTCGTCCTGGGTTAGTGTGTCCTAATCAATTCACAACTAATCAACAGAATGGAAATGAAAAGACGGCAACGTATCAGTTCTTGACAGAGCATTACTGTTGGTAGTGACAGTAGTAGCTGTTCTAATAGTAGAAATCAAACTCTGTACGAACTATCTTGACGGAATGAGATAAGAATCAAATGACAACCAATAACTTGAAGACGTTTCGACCTTAGGATCTTAATCACGTCACGATCCAAGGACCGATACATCTTCAATAAATGTGCTCTAGCAGAATGTATTCTTGTTCATTTCCTTCATACTTAGACAGAAACACAGGCAGCTACACTGTAGCTAAGTCTTCTCCATATGTTCAATGGGGTCTTTTATTATCTTCTGTCTTAAATAATGATCCAAGAGAGACCGAAAAGTTTTCCTATTGTCAACTCCTATTGCTTTCTTAGCGGTGAATAACAAACGGTCGTGTGAAGGGAACATAGCGTTCTGAGTAAGCCTTTTTAAGTCCTCCAACTATTTATTCACAGTCACAAACAGTATACCTAATAAAGATCCTCATGTAAGATAATTTTGCTATTAGTATCGAGTCATTACAAGAGAATTCAGGAAATATGCTCCAAAAATGTTCAGTATCTCTGGGTAAATGATTTTTGCTTTGCAGTAAAGCGTGTAAGAATGAGGAGAAGGATTGGTGTAAGAAAGAATAGTGGAAAAGATTGTAGGCATATAAAAAAGACAGGTAATATAGAATTAAGTAGGTTCTTCCTTAAGTGTGTGTTTATTTTGTTGTCACACATTGACATGATTTTGCATCAGGTACATTGTATAATATATTTTATTACTTTTTTTTTACCATGAACTGTTTTATAGTTTCACTTTTTATAAATCCAGTTTTTGTGCACTTTTCTTAAATCATTTTACAGTTTTACATTTTTTGTTTAATCTTGATATTATTCCTTTTACGTGAACTGTTTCACAGTTTCTCCATTTTCAGATCAAATTTTGACTCATATTTTTCTGTTTTATCCCTGGTGTTGGTGTTGGTGGGTCAGGAGGTTCGTCTGATGCGTACTATCACGGTGTGCAGTGGTGGGTGATCTGCACTGGCCATGTTGCCTTACCTTTGTCTGCTGTCGTCTTCATGCCATTCTTCTATGAGCTCAAACTTACTTCGGTTTATGAGGTAATACGTTTTAAAACTCGCAGGCGGATAGAATAACAAATAAGTAGGAGGAGCAGCATGAAAGAGTCAAAGAGGCATCACCGGACATCATAGATCTCACACAAACCAAGCTCACAGGTATCATAACAGATGCCATCTTTCCAACGGAATATCAGATCATTAGGAAAGACAAAGTAAACAGAAGGGGTGGAGTGGCACTGCTGATCAGAAACCGATGATATTTTAATGAGCTGGAGAGAGGAGACAGTGGAGAAGCAAGAGATTATATAGTGGGAACGCTTCAGTCTGGAGGACCCAAGGTGGTAATTGCGGTGATGTATAACCCACCACAGAACAGTAAGAGGCCAAGGCAAGAGTATGATGAGAGTAATAGAGCAATGGTTGACACACTGGCTGAAGTGGCAATAAGGGCTCATGCGAGCACGGCAAAGCTACTGATCATGGGTGACTTCAACCACAAGGAAATCGATTGGGAGAACTTGTAGCTACCTGGGGGACAAGAAACGTGGATGGCTAAGATGATGGAGGTGGTACTGGAAAGTTTCATGTACCAACACGTGGGACACTACCAGAGAGAGAGGAAAGGATGAACCAGCGAGACTGGACCTAGTATTCACCTTGAGTAGTGCAGATATTGAAGACATCACATATGAATGACCCCTTGTGGCAAGCGATCATGTGGTTTAAGGTTCGAATACACAGTAGAGTTACAAGTGGAGGGGGGAACAGGAAGAGCCGGATGAATGAAATCAAACTTTAAGAAGGGGGACTACGCAGGAATGAAGAACTTCCTGAACGGGGTTCAGTGGGACAGAGAACTGGCAGGGAAATCAGTAAACGAGATGATGGAATATGTGACAACAATGTGCAAGGAGGCTGAGGAGAGGTTTGTACCCAAGGGTAACAGTAATAATGAAAAAGCCAGGATGAGCCAGTGGTTCACCCAAAGGTGCAGGAGGCAAAAACCAAGTGTGCTAGGGAATGGAAGAAGTATAGAAGGCAAAGGATCCAGGAAAATAAGGAGAGCAGTCGTAGAACCAGGAATAACTATGCACAGGTGAGAAGGGAGGACCAACGATAATATGAAAATGATATAGCAGCGAAAGCCAGATCTGACCCAAAGCTGTTGTACAGCCACATCAGGAGGAAAACACCAGGCAAGGAGCAGGTAATCAGGCTAAGGAAGGAAGGAAGGAGGAGAGATCACAAGAAACGACCGTGAAGTACATGAGGAACTCAACATGAGATTCAAAGAAGTGTTCACAGAGGAGACAGAAGGGACTCCAGTAAGAAAGAGAGGTGGGGTACACCACAAAGTGTTGGACACAATACATGCAACCGAGGAAGAAGTGAAAAGGCTTATGAGCGAGCTAGACACCTCAAAGGCAATAGGGCCGGATAACATATCTCCATGGGTCCTGAGAGAGGGTGCAGAGGCGCTATGTGTACCCCTGACAACAATAGTCAACACATCTATCGAAACAGGGAGACTACTTGTGGTACAGAAGACACCAAATGTAGTCTCAATTTTTTAAAAAGGAGACAGACAAGAAGCACTAAACTATAGACCAGTGTCACTGACATATACAGTATGCAAAATCATGGAGAAGATTGTCAGGAGAAGAGTGGTGGAACACCTAGAAAGAAATGAGCTTTTCAACAACAGCCAACCCAGTTACAGGGACGGGAAATCCTGTGTCACAAACCTACTGCAGTTCTATAACAGGGTGACAGCAGTAAGACAAGAGAGAGAGGGGTGGGTAGATTGCATTTTTTGGACTGTAAGAAGGCGTTTGACACAGTTCCACACAAGAGGTTAGTGCAAAAACTGGAGGACCAGGCAGGGATAACACAGAAGGAGCTACAATGGATTAGGGAATACCTGTCAGGAAGACAGCAGAGAGAGCATGGGATGTGGCGAGGTGTCAGAGTGGGCACCTGTGACGAATGGGGTTCCACAGGGGTCAGTCCTTGTGAACAACATTACGGAAGGAATCAACTCTTAAGTGTCCCTGCTTGCAGATGATGTGAAGTTGATGAGAAGAATTCAGTCGGGCGAGGACAAGGAAAAACTACAATGGGATCTGGACAGGCTGCAGACCTGGTCCAGCAATTGGCTCCTGGAGCTCAACCCCACCAAGTGCAAAGTCATGAAGATTGAGGAATGGCAAAGAAGACCGCAGAAGGAGTACAGTATAGGGGGCTAGTGACCACAAACCTCACTAAAGGAAAAAGGTCTTGAGGTGAGTATAACACCAGGCACATCTCCTGAGCCGCACATCAACCAAATAACTGCTGCAGCATATGGACGCCTAGCAAACCTCAGAACAGCATTCCGACATCTTAATAAGGAGTCGTTCAGGACCCTGTACACCGTGTACGTTAGGCCCATATTGGAGTATGCGGCACCAGTTTGGAACACACATTTAGCCAAGCACGTAAAGAAACTAGAGAAAGTGCAAAGGTTTGCAACGAGACTAGTCCCAGAGCTAAGAGGTGTGTCCTTCGAGGAGAGGTTATGGAAATCGACCTGACGACACAGGAGGACAGGAGAGATAGGGGGGACATGATAACGACATATAAATACTGAGATGAATTGACAAGGTGGACAGAGACAGAATGTTCCAGAGATGGGACACAGCAACAAGGGGACACAGTTGGAAACTGAAGACACAGATTAATCACAAGGATCATGGGGAGTATTTCGTCAGTCATAGAGTAGTCAGAAAGTGGAATAGTTTGGGAAGCGATGTAATGGGGGCAGAATACATTCATAGCTTTTAGCAGAGGTATGATAAAGCTCATGGTGCGAGGAGAGTGACCCGGTAGCGGTCAATGAAGAGGCGGGGCCAGGAGCTATGACTGGACTACTGCAACCACAACTAGGTGAGTACACACATATGCACAGACAGACAGACAGACAGACAGACAGACACACACACACACACACACACACACACACACACACACACACACACACACACACACACACACACACACACACACACACACACACTCGACCCCTGCAACCACAATTAGGTGAGTACACACATTGCTAAGCGACCTTGAGGGGCACGGGAATTGTAACATATCGACTTCTTTATTTTTCAACCGATTACATTCATTTTTGGTGTACTATTAGAAGCTTATATCGAGTATCCTGTGCTGAAGTTTCAAACATATCGGCCAAAAAGGAAATGAAAATGCAAAATTTACGAGAAATTGCATTTGGCAGCGGAGCTGTACTCAGTGGTACTTGGAAAAGTGGTTTTGACACTTGCTGCTGATAGAACACCTCTAATTCCATCAACGTACGTGTACCAATTCTAAAATAAACCTTATCTTCATGCTAAACAAAATAAAGTTTCATAACTTTTTTGACATATTGGAAAATGTCGGTCTTGTTGCCCACATAAATCTAAAAATATTTGGGATAATTCAGAAAGGAACACTTTACATTGTAAAGAAATCATTCTCCTATGTTTGTTGTGAAAATCAAGTCAATTCAATCATAAATAAAGATGGATTAGCTCTAAATAGGTAAATAACTTACTTTCGAGATATAGGCCGAAGCGCGCAGCACCCCAGGTGCCCGGAAATATTTTTTTTCCCCGAAAAATTCGCTTTATTTTACACTTTTTCCGTGACCTACAAGTGTTTATTACAGTTAACCATTCTAAATCCGTTTTCTCTCATTACATATGAGAGGACGGACCCTTTCTTCACCTTCAGGGTATATATCGATAGAAATTTTTTCCTCTGGGGCATTATATTATGCTATATATTATTTTTTAAGGTGTGCTTTTTATGTTTATATGCTATTATTATATTGCATTATGTCATAATAGATCAATTGTGATAGATAAATAAGCCTTATAATTGATATTGGCGTGGGTATGGAATATTTTGTTGGCTGGAGGTGTCGGCCATTTTATGCAATATTCCCAGGGGTACCTGATTGGTCCCTTGATCATATTATCTCCGCCCACTCTGGCATGATCTCAGATGGTGAATTTGTATTATATTAGACATAAAGATATAAGAAAAGGATAAAAATAACACGGGGGAAAACATAAACAATGCCGCGTCAGCGCTCCGCGCGCCGGTAACCTGCCGTGCCCCTTGATGCCTCAAAGGCGATGGGACTGGACAACATCTCCCGGTGGGTCCTTAGAGAAGGAGCAGAGATGCTGTTCATGCCACTAACCACAATCTTCAATACATCCCTTGAAACTGGGCAACTACCTGAGGTATGGAAGACGGCAAATGTCGTCCCCATTTTTAAGAAAGGAGACAGAAAAGAGGCACTAAACTACAGACCAGTGTCTCTGATGCGTATAGCATGCAAAGTCATGGAGAAGATTATCAGGAGGAGAGAGGTGAAGCACATGAAACAGAACAAGATTATAAACGACAACCAGCATGGATTCATGGAAGGCAAATCCTGTGTCACAAACCTTCTAGAGTTTTATGACAAGGTAATAGAAATAAGACACGAGAGAGAGGGGTGCGCTGATTGCATTTTCCTGGACTGCAAGGAAGGCCTTCGACACAGTTCCTCACAGGAGATTAGTGTAGAAGCTGGAGGATCAGGCACGTACAACAGGAAGGGCACTGCAATGGATCAGAGAATACCTGACAGGGAGGCAACAACGAGTCATGGTAAGTGAAGAGGTATCACAGTGGGCGCCTGTGACGAGCTGGGTCCCACAGGGGTCAGTCCTAGGTCCAGTGCTATTTTTGATATATGTGAATGACACGATGGAAGGGATAGACTCTGAAGTGTCCCTGTTCGCAGATGATGTGAAGTTAATGAGAAGAATTAATTCAAATGAGGATCACGCAGGACTACAAAGAGATCTGGACAGTTAGGAACGCACATCTAGCCAAGCACGTAAAGAAACTAGAGAAAGTGCAAAGGTTTGCAACAAAACTAGTCCCTGAGCCAAGGGGTATGTCCTACGAGGAGAGGTTAAGGGAAATCGGACTGACGACACTGG